ATGTACCTGACTGAGTTCTGATCTGGGAAATCCAAGAGGGAAAACCCCCCAAAACTCTCAGTCATTCTTCCAGCACAGGTCAGCAAAACGAGACAGAAAGCAAGGTTTGTGCACATGGAGGAATGGCCCTATGCAGCATTCGGGCCCTGGAAGAAGCTCCCTACCAGGGTAAGAAAAGGTCTCAGATCCAGCAAAAAGGGGCCCACTGGAATGGATCTGAGCCTTGGGGTGGTGGTCCAGGGTGAGGAGGGGCAGTAGGCTTTGAATAGCATATCTAGAGAGTAGCAAGTTCAGAGGGAAGCAGCAGCTGCATGGCCCTGACCCTAGGAGTGGAGCAATGTCTCAGTTCCAGTCTAAGGACTTCAGGGAAATAACCAAAAAAGGCGTCCCAGACCAAAAAGAAGCCTGCAGTTCTGGTACGCTGAACCAACAGAGCTTTCCAGCTGACTGATGGTGGCAGAGTCAGCAGCAGTTTACTGGAACTCCAACTGGGATAAGTCCATACCTGTATTACTCAAACCCAAACACAAGTCAGGAACTTGCACAGCTCAGACCAGGGCAACAAGCAGACTTTGACCCAGATCAGATCAGTTTTTGAGAACACAGAAAGCTTGTAGGTCTCCAGCTTCATATTCCTCTGAGTTCCTGGATTAACACAATACTCAGTACCCCAGAGCATCCCTTCTCTAATTTTCGACCTCTCCCTACCTCCAGCTTCTTTCCTGTGATCCACAAAATATCTAAATTTACCATGTCTCCTCCAACTTTAAAGCGTCTTCCCTTGGTTCTGCCATCCTCTCAAGTCATAGTCTTTTCTATCTCTTTTACTTCACAACCGAACTTCTAGAAAAAACTGCCTTACTGCCTCCATTTCCTCACATTGCAGTTACTTAACACTTTGCATTCTGGTTTTCAGTCACACTACTCCACTGAAACAGATATTTCCAAAGTTACCAAAAATCTCTTGCTTTTATCAGTCAATAACCATTCTTAAGTGTTACTATATGCCTGTCACTTTGATAAGTGCTGAAGATACAAAGAGAAGCAAAAATTGTTCCTACCTCAAATATCTCACACGCTAATAATAATAATAATAATGCAAAGAACTATCCACAAGTAAGAGCAGATGGAAGGCAATCTCAGAAAGAAGGCAATAGTCGGGGACAAGGGGAGAGAGGCCAGGAAGTAACGTTTCTTGGTCTTCATCCATTTTTCCTTCTGCAGCATTTGACACTGTTCATTCCCTTCTCTGGATTTTCCTGACAGTGCTCTTCCCCTGGCTTTTCTCCTACCTGTCTGACCATTCCTTCCAAGGATCCCTTGTTGGCTCACAATCCATGATCTACCCACTTTGTGAGTATATCTCAAGAATCTGTCCTGTGTCCTTGTCTCTTTCTGTACTCTGTAGTTCAATTTCTCAAGATTCAATGATCATTTCCAAGCAGATGATTGCCAAATCTACCTAGCCATCCTGTCTGTCCTCATCTTCAATCTTGCATGCCAACTGCCTTCTGGATATCTCCACTTGAATGACCATAGAGGCATCTCAAACTCAATATGTCCAAAATGGAACTGATTGTCTTTTCTCTTAAATTTATCCAATATCCCAAACTTTGTTATTTCTGCTGAGGGTACTACTATGCGTCTATTCAGCCAGTTTCCCAACCTTGGAAGCATCTCTGACTCTTAATTCTCCCTCACCTTCCACTTGTACTGCATCCAATCAGGTTCCAAGTCTTGCTGATTCTACCTCCGTAACATCTTTCTTGTCCCTTCCCTAGTCTTTACATGTCCACCATACTAGTTCAGGCTCTCACTTAGATTACTGTAGCATCCTCCAATCTTATCTCCTTGACTCCATTCTTTCTCCTCTCCAGTCTATCCTGCACACTGTGGCCAAATTAATATTCCTAATGCACAAGTCTGACCATGTAATTCTCCTGCACGAGAGTTTTCAGTGGTTCCCTATTACATCAAAGATAAAATATAAAATGTTTGGCATTTAAAGAAAGGAAGCAAATAAGCATTTATTAAACACCTAGTATGTACTCGGCACAGTGCTAAAAGTGCTTTACCAACATTATATCATTTGACCTCAAAACAACCCTGGGAGGGAGATGGTACTGTTATTGCCATTTCATAGTTGAGGAAACAGAGGCAGAGAGAAGTCAAATGTGTTGCCCAGGGTCACACAGCTAGTAAGTGCCTGGGGCCGGATTTGAGCTCAAGTCTTCCTAAATCCTGCCTGAGCTTTCTATACACTGTGAGACCTACATGCATCTTTTAGGTCCTTCAACATCACTTTCCACCCTATATTTCTATACTGTTTTCACATTAATCTATCTCATGCACTCCACGTGCCAATCAAATTTATTTCCTTGCAATATACAAACTGTACACAATATTCCATCTCCTACAATCATGTTTTTATATAAGCTGACCCCTTCTTATTTTCACCTCTTCGAACAGGAGAATCATAAAATGAGAATGGACCTCAGATGTTCTCTAATGCAAATCCCTCTTTTTTACAGATAGGGAAACTGAGACAAGGTGAAATGACTAACCCCAAAGTCACGCAGGTCATAACTGTCTGAGGCAGGATCTGAATTTAGGTCCCTTCTCTAAAGGACTAATGCTATTTCCACTGTTCCATGGCGCCTCCCAATCCCAAACTTCTGACAAGGCTCAGTCCAAATACAATCTCTTCTACAAGACTTGTCCTGACCATTCCAATTTGTATGCCTCCCCCCTCCAATTACTTGGTATATATTTTATATTTAAATTAGGATCATAAGATCATGAATTTTGAACTAAAAGGATTTAGAGGTCATCTGATGTAACCCCATCATTTTGCAAATGAGGAACTGAGGACCAGAGAAATTAAATGATTTGCCTAGGGTTACACAGCTAGTAAGTGATTGAGGCAGAATGTAAACCCAGCTCTACCTGAGTCCAAGTGAATAATAACTCTGGCTACCATACCATAAAGGATAGGTAGGTGGTACAGCAGATAGAGCGCTGGAACCAGGACCACTTATCTCCATGAGTTCAAATCCAGCCTCAAATATTTACTAGCTGTGTGACCCTGAGCAAGTCACTTAACCCTGTTTGCCTCAGTTTCCTCATCTGTAAAAATGAGCTAGAGAAGGAAATGGCAAAACTACTCCAGTATTTTTTGCCAAGAAAACCCCAAATGGGGATAATGAAGAGTCTACCACTGCTGAAAACAACAACCATATCATTATCTCTGTACATGTTTTTCCCCAGTTGAATAAAACTGCCTAGAATTCAGTTACTACTTCACTTTGCCTTTCTATATCCAGTGTCTAGCACATAGTAGACACTTAATAATTTCTAACTGAATTGAATCAAGCAACATGGGTTTTAGTCTGTGCCCTCAGCTAGCAGTCTTGCCTTCAGCAAGTTACTGAACTTTTGATTCTCAATTTAATCATTTGCAAAAGGGAAATAATACCTTCACTGTTTACTTCTTAGGATTATTCTGGATATCAAATCAGATAATGTATGTACTTTGGAAACTGTGAGGTATAATACCAATGAAAGGCATTAATGAATTTGTTTTCTCATCAGTTGCCTCTTTCTCCTAAAGCTGGAGTGCAAAAAAAAAAAAAGAAAAAGTAATTTTTAAAGTGTTGGTTAATTTGGTTCCAGTTAATGGAAACTTTACTGTATTTTTAGACTTACTTGTTATTACAATAATTTTTTTAAAAAATCATACCGTTAGGAAACATAATCTGGTGTGTATCTGCTCTGCCTGGAAATTGATGTTTTTGATTGAGTCATAATTTACTGTCATTCAACTAATGCTTAGAATAATTTGAAAGGTTTACTTCTCAAACCCATCTGAAAATAATCTTCTTGAAAGTAACGACAAAGGAAAAAATGATGCACCCATGAAAGTAGGTATCTCTTTGCTTTCTTCTTCATAGAAACCTTTACTAACTAAAAAAAAGAGAGACAGTCAATATGTCAATATTTAACAGTGACATACTAATTATCCTAATTGTAACTTAACCTATATAAAAGTTTCAATTAGTTGGCAGTACTTCAAAAGAGGTCACATCCATATTATGACTAGAAGGAACTGGAGTAGAAAGAACACTACAGGCAGCCTGCAGTGGATTAAGCTCTCTGAACCTGAATTCAGGATCAACTGGGTTGGAAACCTGCCTTACCTCATCTAGCACCACCTTGAGCAACCTTTTATATCCCACTTTCCTCATCTGTAAAATGAGGGTGATGATAATCCTTATGTGGAACAATCAAATTTGGATAAAGTCTGTTAAAAAAAAAAGCTTTCCAACTTGCTATATAAAAGTCAGTTTTTCTTATATGGGATTGGAAGACCTGGATTGAAATTGCGGTTGTACCACAGAGTATCACCTTATGAAAATTATTTCCCTTGTCCCAGCATCAGTACATTGTTTGGGGACTAGCTAAATAATTTCATCCACTCTTCCAGCTCTATATCCTGTCATCCTATCAACAGATTATCCAATTCCTGTGGTGAGAAAAAAAAGTGAAAATCAACAAACTTAGCTAGGCTGCCTTGCAATCACGGTGAAAGGTAAGTAGGAATTTCTCTCCCCACGTCCTAAGTGTTGGGGCTACCCTCTGCCCTTGCCCCGATCTGCAGTAAAGGAAGAAGGGAGGAAGCAGGCAGCATCCCTGGAAGACTCTAAAGTGGACGCTCTACACCCCTGCCTACCCACTTCTGGGCCAGAGCCAGTGTCCCTGTCTGAAAGCGAAACACCGATCGAAGAGGAGGAAGAGGAGGAGGAGGCGGCAGCGGCGAATCCTGCACATGGGGCTCCGAGCCCTGAGCAACTGGAGTGCCCTCTTTGCAGTCCCGGGACTTCAACTTCAGCCCCCCAGTATAGAGGATAGGGGCAAGGGGGCTGGGGAGGAGGCACGAGCTAAGGCTGCGTCTGGAGGGCACACTCAGACCGGCACACACATAAGCATACATACACACTTACCTGAGAAACCCGGCTGCAGTAAGTGAAGCAGAAGCCGAGCCACTAGGAGCAGGTACCAGGGCGCCCAGAGCCCTCTAGCTGCTGCTCTCCTGCGGGGCCGAAGGGTCCGCATTGGGCAGGGGCGGAGGGTCACATCTCAGAATAGTCAGCTCACGTCGCAGAGTGGCTAGGTCACAGGTCTCCAGGCAGCCGCCGAGCCGCTGTCGTGAGCTCCCGGGAGGTCGCGGCCGGCGCTGCGCTCAGCTCCGCTCCGCTTAGTTTGGCTCAGCTCTGCTCCGCGCAGCTCTCCCACTTCCCGTTCGGGCGCTACTACGGGGCCCCCACCTCAACTGGACAGATAAGGGGGCGGGGAGAGGGAAGACCTTTCCCTCGCTCGGCTGGACTCGGTTGGGTCTGCTTGGAGCAGGTGAGAGAAGGAGCTAAGCCTAGGTAGTAAAATAAGGTCCGGAGGGGAGGAGGTGTTTGCTTGGCCCCACCCACTCCCTGCGTCCAGGCCCAGAAGTCTGGGCGAGGAAAGAGAGAGGAAAGTTAAACCCAGAGGAACCCAGGAGGGGAACATCTCTGCAGGACAGGAGGGACCAGGGAGGAAGACAGCAGCCCCTGAAACCAGCATTCTGGCAAATGTCTGGACTGGATGACCCTGGGACAACAACTTAACACCATGCATCAAACACCTTTCTGGTGTAAACTCCTTAAGAACTGGTTCCATTTATTTATTTGTTTATTTTTGGTGGTTGTTTTGTGGTCTTTAAATCACCTTGGTCTATCACAGTGCCTAGCACAAAGTAGGCCCTCAAGAAATCTCTTGAATGTTGACCTTTTAAAGTAGAGACTCAAGAACATCGACCTCTTAACCAGGGTGAGAGAAAAAGTAAAGTCTCAGACTGAGTTTCATAGACTTTTTTTCCTTCCTCTACCAAGTATTTCACATCTGACAACTTGAGTTTTTCCTGTTTCTTTTATTTAAATCCTGTTGGTAGGTGTGGAGAATGGATGATATATCATGTTGTTGTTCAGCAGTGTCCAGTGGTTGGTGACCCCATGTACACACTCCAATATTGTCCATGGGGTTTTCTTGGCAGAGATACTGGAATGGTTTGCCATTTCCTTCTCCAGTGGAGTAAGGTAAACAGAGGTTAAATGACTTGCCCAGGGTCACACAACTAGTGAGTGTCTGAAGCCAAATTTGAACTCAGGTCTTCCTGACTCCAGGCCCAACACTCTAACCACTGACCCACCTTGCTGCCTGTCTAGCTGCCTTATAGATCATAGGGTCACAGATTTAAAACTGGAAGGGACTTTAGAGGTCATCAAGTCTGCACTTCTTATTCTATAGATGAGGAAACTGAGGCTTAGAGAGATTAAGGCACTTGCCCAGGGTTATACTTGCCAGGTTAAGTGCATGAAGCAGATTGAGTGTCTTAGATGCTGCATGGTCCCTAATCATAACTATAAAACTGCATTTTCATTGTTTAGCACACAGACCCAAGTAAGGGAGGACATAATCCTCATAACATTCATCTCAGATATGAGTAATATTTTCTGATTAAAATACCTACCGCTTAAGTATTTTCTGCTAGCTCCTTTCTGGGCTAAAATGCATAGATTCCCATTGAGGAATATGTACATTAGTATGACAAGATCTTCCCAGTCTTTGTCACAGCTGCCTCTTCTGAGAAACACTTGGTAATCACTTTGGGGGAAACTTGTAGATCAGATTCTCAGGTACAGGTTGCTATATGGCTTTTAAGTTCCTTTCAGTTCTGAAATTTTGTGATTTGGTGACTCTGTTTCCCTATAACTCCATTTTTAGACCAGCTGAGCAACAGAGGGACCATTAGGACAGCCATTCCATAACAATAATAACAACAAATTAATTTATATATCACTTTACAGTTTATAATTTGCTTTCCTTATAAGCTGCCAGATCTGGTAAGTCATACAGATATTGTTATCCTAATTTTTGCAAATGAGAAAACTAAAACTCTGAGAGTTTCAGTGGTGACCCATGGTCACCTAGTGTTAGTAGGTGTCTGGGCTGGCACTGGATCTCACACCTCTTGATTCCAAGTCTAGTAACCTTCCACTGTGCAGCTAGCATCCAGGATGTCTTTCCCCCTGACTGAAGGAAGAAAGCCTTGCATGGGGCAGACAAGCTTTGATTGATGCACGGTATCATTTTTCAGTATAGTATATATGCCTTTTCCCCTACTTCCTTTTATTTCTCAGCTTCCTCTTTTAACTCCAAGAGTACAAGATAAAGTTTGTGAGAAGATAGCACTGTCATGATTTATATAAGCAGGATGATTACTATGACTGTATGAAATAAATGTGTTCTATGTACTAATCCTGGCATATGATCTATGATTAACACATGTTCAATTACCATAAAGAACTTCCTGACAAGTTTTCTTTGTTTTTTTTCCAGTGACCCAGACCTGCCTAGAGGAGTCTCCTCAAATGTCTTTCCTCTGCAGCTTGTTCCCCACCCCTTCTAAGGGAAAGGACACTCCCTTATCTTCCCTCCCCAGTTCTAATCCTCCCCAAGTAATTTAAACCTTAGGTTCTCTTCCTCAAACAGATTTTTCAAAAAATGACTCACCCCTTCCAAATTGATATTTTGCTTCTTCTCAGTGAAAACTCTGACCTTTCTTCCCACAATTTAGCACTTTAAATTTAGCTACTGTGGCTCCTGGTATGAAGAGTTGTGGGTTAGCTGGCAAAAGTAATAAATGAAACTGAAAGTATTTGATTTTTGTTTGATAGATTAGTCCAGGTTCCAAAGAGTTATGAGTACAATCATCACCTAAAAAAGAACTTTATAACCCCTTTCCTATCTTTTTACTTAAACAATAAGTATATGTATATTTCTATATGGCAGTTTGCAGAAATGTAGAATTGTGGTACCAGGCAGCTAGGTGGCGCAGTGGATAGAACACTGAAGTCAGGAGGACCTGAGTTCAAATGTGGCCTGAGACCAAACACTTGATACTACTAGCTGCGTGGCCCTGGGCAAGTCATTTAACCGCAATTGCCTAAAAAAAAAAAACAAATAAAAGTGCACTTTATTTGGGGGCAGCTAGGTGGCGCAGTGGATAGAGCACTGGCCTTGGATTCAGGAGGACCTGAGTTCAAATGCAGCCTCAGACACATAACACTTACTAGCTGTGTGACCCTGGGCAAGTCACTTAACCCCATTGCCTATCCTTAAAAAAAAAATTTAAAAAAAAAGAATTGTGGTAACCACTAAACAATAACTTAAAAATAAATTTATTTTGAAAACTTTGATGGATCTGTGATGACAGATGTGGGCGTAGGTTGCAATCCATCCATACTGGCCCATATGGTCCAATACACAGGGAGCTTGCTGCCTCACAAGGCAGCCCATTCCATTTTTAACAGGTCTAATTTTTAGGAAAATGTTCCTTATATTGAGCTACAGTACTCCATCCTGTAGTGTTTACTCATTGGACTCAATTCTGGCCACTTAAAACTACACAGAATACATTTAATTCCTCTTCTAGGTGACAAAATTAAAATATTTGATGATGACTAATAATAATAGCTAATGCTTTAAAGTTTTCAAAGCATTTACTAATAATTTATGTAAATCTTCTCTTCTTCAGTCTAACTTGACTTAGGCTGGGGCTTAAATATAGTCTTCTGAGGACTCTGCTGCCATTTGAGCTGGTTCTCCCAGGGGCTGCCTTTCATTTCCTCTTTGGACTCTCCCAAGCAGACAGATGAATGAACAGCAATGCCTGTCACTATCTCTGTTTCTTTTTCAACTAAGATTTGGGAAGTCTGAGTGGCCTTTTGTCAAGGTAGGCCCATTTAGGCCCAGTAAAAGGTAATGTAATTCTGGATTTTATTTAAAAAACAGTGGGAAGCCAGTGAAGTTTTTTGAGCAGGACCAGGTAGCAAATTGAGACTTGTACCATGAGTCAGATATTTTGTTATTTCTTTCAAGGATGGATTAGAGAAGGGGGATCCTGGAAGCAATTAGAAGACCTAAGAGACCAATTAGAAGGCTGTCATAACCAGGCCCAGTCCCTGAAAAAGAGCTGAGAAAATGGAACTCTCTTTCTTATTTGCAAGCATGGGGCAGGGTGCAATTATAGGGATAGAATATTGGATATACTGTCATATTATGTTCAGTTGATATACTGGTTTTGTTACACAGCTTTTTCCACCTCTCCCTTTTATATTCATTGTACAAGGGATGACTTTCTGGGTAGAGGATGAGGAAGGGATATATTCAGAAATGAAAGTGGTGTTAAAAAAAACAATAGATAGCAGTACTTTTTTTAAAAAGACAGTTATTCTTTAAAACTTTTTTTCAATTAAAAATCTATTTTCTCTCCCTCTCCTCCCTGGCCCACTGGGAAAAACAAAAGAAAGAAACAAGCCCTTTGTAACAAATATGCCAAGCCTCAGTCTGCAATTACTCCCACTGTCCACTTACTATCCTACTCACCAAAGTAGCTTTTCCAAAACTTTTTTATCTCTCCTCAAACCTCCTATGGTTCCCCCTAATCCTACTCTCTCAGCTGAGAACCTTGTTTGATAGGTCACTGAAAAACTGAGACCGCAGAGAGCTCCCACTTCTTCCTTGTTCCCTTGACTCCGTCCTGGTTCTTCTCCTCCCTGTCTGACTGCTTTTTCTCAGTCTTCTTTGCTGGATCTTCATCCATGACATGCCTGCTAACAGTGGGTATGCCATGAGATTCTGTCCTGGGTCTCCTATTCTCCATCTATATATTTTTTTAACAGTGATCTCATCAGAACTCATGAATTCAATGATCATCTCTATGCTGCCCTACGATCTCTCTTTACCTCCAGATTCTCATTTCCAATTGCCTATTAGACATCCCTAACTAGATGTCCAATGGACATCTTAAACTCAACATATCTAAAACTGAGCTCATCATTTCCACCCAAAACCTCCTTCTGAACTTCACTATTAATGTTGAGGACACCACCATCCTCTCAGTTGCCAAGGCTTGAAACCTAGAGAGCATTCTTGGCTCCTTACTCTCAGTATCTCATATTCAATATGTTGCCAAAGTCTGTTTATTTCCCCTTCATAACAACTCTTAGATATGCCTCCTTCTTTCCTCCAACATTGCCACTATCGTGATGGAGTCTCTCATCACCTGGACTGTTGCAAGAGTCTTTAGTTGGTCTTCCTGCCTCAAGTCTCTCCTTATCCCCATTCATCCTCCACTCAGCTGTTAAATTAACCATCTTCATAGAGTGGCTCTCTATCACCTTCAAGATAAAATGTAAAAGCTTCTGTTTGGCCTTCAAAACCCCTTACAACCTGACCCCCTCCTACCTTTCCTTTTTTCTCATACCTTACTCTCTGACACATACTTTGTGATCCAGTGATCCTGGCCACCTTGTCAATCTTTGCACAAGGTATTGTATC